GGACGGCCTCCAGCGCCTGCACCTCGTGGTGGCCGCCACCAAGTACCCGCGCAGGTGCGTGCTCCCTCTCTGGGACGGGCCCCCTCGGGTTCCCCTCACCGGCAGAAGAGGCGAAGCGTCCCTTTCTTGAAGAAAGGGAAAAAGAAAAAGCTTGGTGCTCCAAAGAAACGCTCTGTTTCACCGAGCTAGGTATATGTGTAAAAATCACGTTTGCCTTTCTTTCTACTGCAAAGTGAAGGCTATCTCTTTTTGCTGCGAAGGTAACCAGTGTTTGTCAGTGAGCACTCTTTTAAGTTGTATGAAGGAAAAAAACTCAAAAGCGAAGAGGCTAAGTAAGTTGGTCAGAGTCACTGTCAGAAGAGATCATCCCAAGACCAAGAATATGTAGGAAATAAATGTTTGCATTTTTCCTTGCCTGGCAGTGATGCTTTGCTGTGGTTCTTGCAGGCTAGATGGCAAGTTTGTGGAACTGCTGCAGACAGTGCTGTGTTTGCCCAAGTGTCCTGAGCAGGTTCAGGTGTTATGTGCTGCCATCCTGAGAGAGATGTCGCCTTGTAGTGAGCTGATCCTCTCCTGTGAGGAGGTTCAAGATACAAAGCTCTTGAGTCTAATATCCTCCGTCCTTTTGGCTCAGGTAAATGACCTGTCGTATCAGAAATCTTCTCTCATCAGTATGCATTTGCTTTCTGATTCTTCCCTGTCTGCTGAGGGTGCAAGTCAATTGACGGTCTCTAGGAGAAACCAGAAATATTTCCATGTTCATGTAAGGAACCTAATAATTCTGCTTTGTGTAAACTCAAATGCCAGCTTTTGTTGTGTTCAGTGTTTCATAACAGATTGCTTAAAATTGTGCTGTGTAGGGCATGAGGGCACTGGAGCAGTAGGTTGTAACTGGAAGCGGAAATGAACATTTTGATGCTAGCTGCTGTAAACAACTTCAAGTCAAGGTTGCTTGTACCTGTAAGAAAAAGATTTGAAACTGAATTTATTACTGCTACTTTTTTTTGTATGGTACTGGCTTTCACAGTCAAATATAGGATATTACTCGTAAAACTCGAAACATATATGGTGCTACAAACATGGATGTTGTTTCAAAGATGTAGATTAGTCACAGAGAAGAAATCATTAGGATGTTCCTGTTTTTAGTGCTGCCTGCATGGGCCACCCTCTGGGAAATAAGCTAGATACTCTTTTTTTTTCCTCTTCTTCTTTTATATGCTATTATCATGCCAATTAAAGATAAAATATTTTTTGTGAACTGTTCTGAAACTTCTTGTTCTGAGTTTCAGTGCGTGATCAGAAATGCCTCCTACATTTCTCATCACCCCTCTGAGTCTCCTTTAGCTAGAGAAAATGAAACCAGAAACAGAAAACGGACAGCAATGTGCTGTGTTACTTGGATGTTGCCTTACCAAGAAACTCTCCCATATCCAGCCTTGAGACAGTTTTGTAATCTTAAAATATAAAAAGATACTGTATCCATTAGTTTTTGTTAAATCAAAACTAGAACCATGAAGATGTTTTCCTAATTTTTTGATGTTATTAAAGTTAGTATATTTTAACTATTTCAGTATCACTTCTCTAACATTGGCTAGAAGTGATGTGACAAGCAGCAGCCCTTCTCATGAAAGCAGGCCAACTGTAATAGAGCCTTTAAAAAGGTCTTCTGCTTATTCTCCTTTGTTACTGCTTTGGGTAGAAATCCTCTTACTCTTTGCCTTCCTGCTGCCCCCTACCTTCTTGGCTGTGCAAGGTTGTTCTTTTTATAAAGCATTTGGCTTTCTAGAAATCACAGCCTCTGGTGTTGTATTAGGAACCGTTGATTTGCGGTCAGTCAGGTTTTGCTCTGAGTAGCAAGAGACGTGTCAGCAACACATACAGGTAGCCCTACCATTTGCAGTGGGCTGCAGTGATGTATCTGCAGGAGAGGGGCTGTTCCTTCTCTTTTCCTTCACTGCACAAGTCCCCAGACCTTAAAGTGGATTGCATGTCGCTTTGGTCAGTCTATCCACGTCTGTTCAAGGGAGAAGCACAGAAAGTAGCCCCAGTAGTGGATGAGGTTCCAACATGCAGTTTCCTCACTGGAAGCTCACATGAAACTTCCTAATTGCTTCTAGGGATCAGATACAAATGTGACTATTAGATGGGGAGTACTGGAGATTGGTGTTTGTTCACTGCTTTCAGCAACCAGCTGTCAAAACCCCTGAGCACATAGAGAAGATTCATTTTTTTGTTGGCATGGTGGCATTTGTGGGGGGAGAAAGCCTCTCAAAAGGCTGGGTGCACCTGCAATCTGTAACAGTCATCTTGGACAGAATGATTTGACAGCATCTCAAAACTGCAGCTATAACAGCTTCCAAAAGGGGAGGCTGCTTTATTTTCCTTCTCCTGAGGATACAGACTAAGCAGAGAGTCCTAGAACCTATTACAGTGGTCTGCTTTATGATCATAAATTTCTAATTTAACAATTGAGCTAGCAAATTGACCACACGGGGAGTAGTTAGTGCTAGTACTCACTGCTCTGGAATTGATGGATCAAAGTAGCGTTTAATGTGAAGACATCCATTGCAGCTGTTAATTTCCACTTTAGGTGACAGTTGTCCACAAACCTGTTGCTCCATCAAAGTATTCCTCCCTGCTGGGAGCTATGAATTCGCGTTACAGAAGAGCTCTGTAAAGCATGGTAAAATAGTGTGTATCGTGAGTTCTCTTTACATTTGACACTGGCATTGATACCTGATGAAAGTTTGTAGGGTATTGATTTCTAGCACTGGTAGAAAACTGCCTGCCTAGCTTTACCTCTGATTTGTTTTTAAGGGTGATAAGAAGGCTGAAGTGTCTGCTGTGGGGCAGCGTATTGTAAAAGTACTCGAAGGGAGACTGCCAGAGGGTCAGAGTTCTCGGCACCTCCTTCCTGTCCTGTCAAATGTCATCAGTCTTTCGCCGGTATCTCTAACTGAAGGTAAATACAGGAGGGCCTGAGCTTATGACCTGCGTAGTGATCAAAAGGGGCTCTGAAGGCTTGGGCTAGGAGTATGGCTTGGAAACTACCATTAGAAGTGATGTCTCTGTCACAAGGAAAGTAAACTTCTTGGGTGAAATATATTCCACTGTTCAAAAATTGTACCAGGCCCTCGGGTGCTGTGGCCCCTCCTGGGAGACGGAGTCCCTGGTCTGTGCGGATTTGCATCAAAGTGACACGTACCCTAATTGAGATCTCCAGATACAGTCGGAGTATGAATCCGTAGCTATCCTGAAGAGCATCAGGGCAGATGATGAGAAATAAAGAGAATTGTGTCTGTGTGTCTGTTCAAGAGACCAGCAAAAATAACTAGGGAATGGAGAGTTCAGAAGAGAGGCAGGACAGTAAGATAGTAGTGAGTGATATGTCCTGGCGAATAAACTTTAGGAGAGACTGCGGGCATAAAAGGGTGAGCATATGTGTTATGATTGAGTTTGTTTCTAGGCATGTCCTGTGGGAAAACTAGGAGTTTGCACATGTTGTGCAGGCGGTAGGAGAAGCTTTGGGGAAGACAGTGGGCTGGGGCGTATGGGTTGGCTGAGCAGGCAGGATTACCTGCCTTAGCTTCTGTGCGATCATGCTTTTATCTGCAGAGCTGAAGCTAGCCACTGCACGAATATGTTTGACAGTATTCTAGCACCTTCCCCCTTATAGCAGCTGCAGTTAGAGACATATCAAAGGAACAAGTATCTCTGGACTGATCTGGTACCAGAAGTCCTTGGTTTTAGCGCTCACTTCCTGAATTTTTTGTTGACAACAATGAAAGCAACTCAGTTGCTAAGAATGAATGAGAGAAGGGCGCAGAGCTGTGAGATGGGTGAATGATCCTGGATTCTGAAGTTGTGTAAGGAGGAGAGGGCGTCCACCTGGGAGGTACCCATTTCTTTGCTGAGTGCTGGATCAGAGAGCTAGCGATCTAGGCCAGAGGAAAAGCACAGCAATTGAAAGGCAGCAAGGGTGTGCTGCAGAGGCCGCTTCTGTGCCCGGTCTAGCAATGACCTTGTGACTTTCCCTGTATAGAGCAGATCAATGTGGTCAGTAAAAAGATGGTCGACTGGCTGAGATATGCGAGCGTTCAGCAAGGAGTCGCTCAGCCCTCTGGAGGCTTTTTCTCCAACCCCAGAGCCAGACAGGTAAGTGCTGACTTGCTATGGTATCCTACATGGGCATTTGCTAGTCAGTTCCCTGCTATTATATGTTGCAAATTCAACTTCTTGTGGGAAATGGTGACCTAGAAGTGCCACTGCTCTTTGTTGCTTTGTCTGGGGTAAGTGGTCAAGATGCGAAGTAGGGGGGATTTATAGCTCCAAAATTTAGCAAGTGCTGTGGGGCCAGAACCTCAGTCCATGGAGTAGGTGTGAGGGAGTGTCTTCTGGTGATCAGGTACCTTGGACTAAGAGGAAAATGAGGCCTTCGTCAGAGGGAGGGGAAAAGTTTGGGGTTTCTCTGCTGGAGAAAATGAATCTAAAAGACAGCAGTTTCTCTCTCTGGAGAACTGCCCCTCTGCAGGCCCCAAGGTACATATAAACAAGGGTTGCTAGTCTCCATGCGGTAGGTAGAGTCTTGCTTAGCCGCTCCCTGGGAATCTGACCTAGCTCATCTTTCCTCCCAGCCTGTCCCTGTCACAGAGGTGGACGGTGCCATTGCCACAGACTTCTTCACAGTGCTCTCACTGGGTCAGCACTACACGGAGGACCAGTGGCTCAACATGCAGGCCTTCTCCATGTTGAGAAAGTGGCTGCTGTGCTACGGGGGTGAGGGGCTGAGCACCCCTAATTCAGGTGCGAACTGAAAGCCTGCGGACCAGTGTGGATTGCACCCCCAGAGAAGTGTGTGTTCTGAACTGCTTTGGTGGCTTCACCAGAAACCCTGCAAGGGGCAGGGTCTGGCCAAGTGATAGCTGTGGCTTACAATTCAGCTCTTGAACTAAGAGCAGGGAAAATTTGGGAAGGAGTGTCCTTCCTTAACTGACTCTTCTAACTGACCCTTCAACAAAGAGTGACTCATTCAGTGGGTCCCAGGATTTCAGGCCAAACCCCCCTGGTCCCTGCGAAAACAATCCTGGGTGGTGGGAGACAGCATCTACCTGGTGTTACCGTAACACTGCCTTCTTCCCCAGGCTCCTTTACCTCCCGGTGCACCTGGGAATAGACAGCTCCCTCTCTATTGCTGGGCAGCTGCGTGGGTTACACTGCCCGTGGTGTGGCTTATACCTGGTGACCTTTACTTTGTAGATGACAGATCAGAAATGGATGGCTCTGTCATGTCCATGGTCTCAACTACATCCACATCTAGTCATCTGCTTCCCCCGAAGGAGCGTCTGCGGGAAAAAGCCTTTGAGTACTGCCAGCGGCTTATTGAGCAGAGCAACCGGCGTGAGTCTTGCCATGAATGCTCCTTGCAGCCTTCTTGGGCCTGTTCTTGAAAATGCTTGTTTGCTACCTCTTTGGGTTGGAATCTCACGCCCTAGAGTTTAGAGTTGGGGTCTAGGCATGGGACCAGGTTTGGCTGCTGGTGCAAGTCATTGACCAGGCTTAAGCTGGGATGTTGGGAGGGATTTGGAGGCAATGCCCATGTTCTGCCTCCTGCCTTTGATTTGCAGGGAATGTCTTCCATAGCCTCTGTCTCTTGGCCCTCGTTAGCCCAGAGCCTGGAATTGGGATCAGTATTTCCTCCCAGCTGGCCTGAAAGCCCAGTGGGCTCGTGCTCAAACTGACGGCCTGATGTACCTATTTGGACCCAGAGTTTATCTTTGACTTCTTTCTCTGGCAGGGGCCCTGAAGAAAGCTGATGGGGAACTGCAGAAAGCTGTAAGTACGCAGAGGAGGGGCTGGAGCTCTGGGAGATGAGACTTCCCCTAATCTGATCTGCTCCCCTGCAGTGTCTCATCGAGGCGGTGACAATCCAGGACATCATCTGCAAACAAGACTCCTCCTATGTGTACCGCACGCTCTCCTCCCTGAAGATCCTGCATGGCAGAATCAGTGGAGATGTCACTTACGCGAGGGCACTGCTGCCCATTGCTCAGTTCTTCCTGAACCACAGTAAATCAGCAATGCTCACCCCCTCCTCCACAGTTTAGTCTTGCATGCTCTCAGCACAGCCCTTTGTCCTGGGGACTTGATGGCAGCCAGACCTGGTAATTCAGCCTTGGCTGTGCTCCAGGATGGGTGATCCCAGTCCTGGAGACGTGGAAGCTGTGCTGCCTTGGGCTCTCTAGAGTAACATACCCCAGGCTTGGGCTTTACATAAGCCATTGGAGCCTGTGCTGGCAGGGCTGCTGGGTGGGCTGTGCTCAGGAGTCTGCTGTATCCTCCCAGGTGAAATGGCAGCTGTGGACTCCGATGCAATCTACAAACACTTGTTCACCGAGATCCCAGCTCAGCTCTTCCACAACCCATCACTGGCCTTTGAGTTCATCCAGTTCTGCAAAGACAACAGCCAGCTCTTCACTGACACATCCAGCATATTCAGGCAGAGCTTCCCAAATCTCTTCAAGGTACTCCGTGTTGGAGCAGCACAGAGGAGATTCTGCTGCATGTGCCTTTTGGTGCCCCTCAGAGCACTCCACATGCCTTTTGGTGCAGTTCAGAGCCCTCCCTCTTCCTATTCATAGAGGGAAGTCTGAGTTAATGTCCTTGGGGTGGGAAGTACAGCGATTTAGCAGCTAGAAAAGGAGCAGGCTGTAGCGGAGGGGAAGGTCTGGCTTTTGGCATAGGCAAATTCCCAGATTGTTCCCGACAAGTGTATTTTCTTTCTGTGGAGTGCACCGAGCTTGGGTATCAGCGTTCAGAGGCCACGAGGGCTTAATTTACCTGTAAGTCCTCGAGACAAGTCTTGAGATCAGCCCTCATTTAAATGGTCACAAAGGAGCTTGTGGTGCCTTCCTGTTGGGGTAAGGCCAAGAAAGGCTCCGCGTGCTGGGTCAGTCAGCACAGTTAGGAGCCAGCACTCTGTTTTTGGAAAACTTCAAGAAGTTGCTGCTTGCCAGCCACTGACCCAGCTGCCAGGCACCTGTGATGAGCTATGAGCAGCCTCCCCAGCTCTTGACTGAAACCTCAGCCTTCTCTGTTGTTGCTTTTCACATGTGACTTTCCCTTCCCCATCCCCTTTGGTCACAGTGGGAGGAGAATCATCTGGGCCTCAGGGCAGAGTGACAGGGTTAGAGCAGCAGCTGGTGCTTGTTCCCTGCAGTTCCTGGCGTGGAACAGCCCACCCCTTATCTCTGAATTCGTGGACCTTCTCCCATTTCTGCTGGATGCAGGTACAGCCATTGAGATTTTCCATTTGCTGCTTGACCTGCCCTGTTTGACAGCAGCTCTGGACATCCAGCTGAGGTAAGGCTGCCTTCCCCTCCTCTTGCTTGCTAATCAGGGTCTTGACATTGGCCATAGCCTAGTACCCACTGCTCTGAGCCTCAGCTGCCCTCTGCTGCTGTTATGGAGGGAGAGGTGTCTGCTACAGCCAGTTAAAACAAAGCTGCACATTTATCAGCCCAGTTTTCCTAGTAATGTGCTGTGCACAGGGAGAGAAGGTAACCAACTCTTATGCTTCAGTGCTGGGTTGTCTTTGGGTGTCAGAATGTTGTCATCCCTCCCCCCGTATCCAGCTCCAAACTATCACGAGGTGCTGTTCTCCTTGGGTGTCTGCCATCAGCCTCTGCCACAACACTGTGGTGTGGGCTTTGCTGGTCTTCCCTCCTGACTCTTATCCCTCTTTGTTGGGTTTGTGCTCCTGGAGGCAAACATAAGTTCCCTCTTAAGGTCAGGAGGGACTGGAGGAGTCTCCAGGGAGGTGGGATAGGGCTGGGACCAGCTCTCACAGCTGTACCACTGCCCTTCCTTGTCTTCCTTGGCATTAGCAGCCCTTTCTGGAGCGCTTAGAAAGGGGAGGTCACCCTGGAGGTAGGAGGTTGGTGGGCTTTGGAGGATACAGAGCACCATTTTTATCTCTCCCAGCAGGGACACAGAAGGAATTCTGGAACTACTGCCTGAGTCTGGAGGCTGTGGTTGGTCTGAGTACTTTACTCAGCTTTCCTGCCATCCTGTTTTTCTAGCTTCCAGGAGGCCTAAACTGGGATGACTTATTTTCCATGTTTCAATGGCAGGATAGTGATTCCATTAACCAGGATCCCGACTAAGGCCTGGCCAGTTTTCCGACTGCAGCACGTTTTGTGTGCCTTCTGCTAGGTCAACCTCTCTCCCTGGCTCCGAGAAGGCTGCCTGCGACCCAACTGTGAAGCCAGCCACCTGTCTGGAGGCTTTTCGCCATCCCCTCTACAAGAGCATGTTCCAGTACCTTCTCCGCATCGAGGCTGCCCCTGAAGACTCTCCGGAGAGGTAAGAGGCTGCCACAAGGGTTTGGTTGAGCCATCCAGATCGGGGAGGCAGCACTCGGGTTTGTGAGAAGGTGTAGCTGCTCTCAACTGGAGTGCAGTGGGCTTGACTTTCCCTCTGTTATCTTTGCAAGTGCTTAAAGACCTTGTGGAGGAATATGGAAGGAGGGCCTGGGGAAGTAGCTAGGATCAAGCCTACTTCAACAGTAGCCTATCTGTTGCCCACAGCCTGATTCCACTTCGGCAGCTGCTGGGATCCCTGGCCAGCAGCCCAAGGGTCGTGCAGTGTGCGGAGACTGTCCCTGTCTTACTGGAGCTCTTCTTCAGTGTGGTGGCAGAGGTGGGCACTCTTTGGGCAGTTTGGCTCCTGGACACGCTGGGAGGGGTCTTTTATTACATGGATAGCAGCCATGGATGCAAAAGTGTTAAGGCCCTGCAACCTTGACAGAGGGTTGAATGAGGGGAGGGTGGGATGGTCTAGTATTGGCATGAACATAGGTTGAGCCAGCTGCTTCATCCAGAGAAGCGGAAAAGCTCCATGGTGTAGCATCAGTGTTCATTGCTGTTCTTTCAGCCAGCTGTAAAGCAGGCAGGCAAGAGCAGAATGAGTGCTTCATGCCTGCTTTGTACACTGTTTCCCTCCTGCTGGATCCTGTTTCTGTCCTGGCCTAGTTCTCTCTGGCTGAGTAGTTTGGTTTTTGGCTGCTGGATGTCACTGAAGCAAGGGCTGTGTCTCAGTTTGCAGATAAGCCGCTGATAAACCAGCTGGTACTGTTGATGCTGCAGAGGAGTGACCAGCTCTATGAGACCCCGGCATTTAAAGATGATGTGCACAGGTGAGACCAGAAGACAGGAGGCACAGCCAAGCGTCCAGCCCCTCCCCTGGCTACAGCCTGGCTTCCCAGGACAGCCCAGGAGCCTTTTCAGTTGTGGCTGAGTTCCTGTTATCACCTGTCATTGGAGAGTCCAAAGTGGGAACTGCACCTTCACCTCTTCCGTAGACACACCGAGCATACAGCCTTACCTTTGACAGGGGTGGCTCGCAGCCTCCTTTCCAGGGAAGAGAAAGGTCTGACTGGCCTTGAGGATGGGGCTCAATGTAATGAGAGGTTTTGAGCTTCTCTCTCTTGGGGAGATGTCAGGGAGGATGACAGTGCAAGGGAAGCAGCTTGAAAAACAGAAAGTTGTGTTGCTCTGGACACCATTTTTGGGATGTGTCTTAGGGTAACTGTCAATCCTGTGTGCCTATGGCCAGATGCTGCTAGTTCCTCCTTGGTTTGGCCATGGTCTAAGTGTTCCCCACCTCTCTCCTCTAGGGTGCTGAGTTCGCAGCTGCTGACCCTCTGCAAGTTGCACCCTGCGCTCATTGTGGAACTGTCCAAGGAGCTTCTGGAGTTCTTGGGATCAATCAGCAACATCCGGAACAAGGAGGCCCTCTTCACCCACCTGGTAAGTGGGGCCTGCCTACTTCTGCCACAGGACGTTCCAACTGCAGGGCACTCTTCTGGTCACCTTCCCTTTCTTCCTTTCCTATCTTAGCGTTAGCTAATCTGATTTGCCATTCCCTAAAAAAAGATTCAGTCCCCTTTGCTTTAGCTTGCCCTGAGCACATGTGCCTTTGTTTTAGGTCTGGGCTATTGGAGAGTACATGTCTGTGTCCTACGACAAGCGCTGCACCGTGGAGCAGATCAACCGGTTCTTTGAGGCTCTGGAAGCCATGTTGTTCGAAATTACCCAGCTCCGACCGCTGGCCAGCATCCCCAACTACCCGCCCCGTGTCATCACTGTCCTCATGACCACATTGACCAAGCTGGCGTCTCGCAGCCAGGACTTGATCCCCAGGTGAGAAGGGATGGCGGGGGAGGACACAGGGCTGAAACATACAGATCGGATGGGTTCAAACGCCAATGTTTGCCACTGTTAGATGATCAGACTTAGCAACTGGTGGGACCTGAAACTGAAACAGGACTGAGGAAACAAGCTGTGGAGCAACACAGTTTGGGGAAGTGGAGTCTGTGTGGTGACTAACACTCCGTGTGCTAGGAGGAGCGGCTAGTTAGCATCCGGTGTTTGCCCGCAACAAAATCTTTTGGGAAACACAGGCTTGAGTAGTGACCTTGCTGGGAGTAAAGGTCCTGCCAGCTGAAGGTCGCGTCCTTCTCTCCTGCAGAGTATCCTTGTTCCTGTCCAAGATGAGGATGTTTGTGCAGAACCCTGCTGTCACCTCTGTATACTGCGAGGAGGACTGTGAGGAGATCCTCATCCGGGCAACTGAGCTCATGAACCTGCTGAAAATGCCAAGTGTGGCTCAGTTTGTGTTCACACCATCTGTGGACGTCGCCAGCACACAATTTCAGAGAGATGTGAATGACACTCTCCCTTTTGCCCTGAGGATAGTCAGCCGGCTCTTAGAAGGGGGCGCTGGCTTCGTGCCAGGGTGAGAGAAGAGGGTTTCTGAGAGGCTAAAGCCTCTGTTATAACTAATCTGCTGCTGACACTCGAGGCTGAGGCCCTGCTCTGAACTGGAAATGAGGAACAAATGATTGCAAATGAAATGGAAAACAGGAATAAGAAGAGCTGAGGCTGCTCTTCTGGCCTGAGCCTGTTGTACTTGTCTTTCTTAGTGCCTGTTGCTTGTCTACTGCCCGTGCTTGTCTTACCTCTCTTTGGCCGCTATAGATTGAAGATCCCAGTGGATTTGTGTGAATGTGGCAGGAGGGTAACTGCCTGCATTAGTATTCTGCCAGCAAACCTTGTCCCTTGGGAGACATTCTTTCTCTACTTCCCTCTCCTCCGATTTGTTTCTCCTTCCCCTTTTTCCCTTGCAACAGCCTGGCTATGCGTGTGCTTCTGCTCTTCCCTCTCTGCTTGTAGCAGATGGGCCAAACAAAGGCCTATGTGAGGTGGAGATAGCAGAAGTGATTCTGTTAGGTCTGCTGTGAACCTTCACTAGCCTTTTGTCTTACCACCACAGTGAACATGTTGAGACCCAAGATACATCCACCAGACAGGAGGTTAGAGAGATTTAATGATCCAGTTTATTGTTGACACCAAGAGCGTTTCTTAGCGTATATCAGCCCCATGTCAAGCAGGTGTCATGCTGTCTTCTGTATCTGCACTGGAAGTTTATACACGTTCAAGCTGTACAGTATTAACAAATTGGGGAAGTAAATATGTCCCACTGCTCCTCCCAGGAGAAGCAAGCCCTCATGCAGACTAGTAAATAGCAGGGTTTATTTACAGTTGTTTAAATACCTGACTGCGCTGTGAGCAACCTACAGCTCTGGGGCTGTCTCCCATCTCCAGGGGTGCCTGCCAAGTCAGACTCAGCGGGAAGGGGAGGGAGCCTGGACTGTGGCTGCTTTGGTACCTCCGGAACTAGCTAGGGTGCAGCCAGTGCCAAACAAGCCTCCCCTGAGCCCTGGCTCCTGGGCAGAGGGTAATAAGGAGAGCATGCAGTTGCCCAGGGACTCCAGGCAGCCCATTTCCAGCTCTCCAGACCTCAGGAGGGCCACTGCTAACTCCATGGAGGATGACTGGGCCAACGTACCTACTTGACTCAAAATTGAGCTAGTCCCCAGGAGCCCTGTGGTGCCCTGAGTCTTTGCTCGCCTGCGTCATACAGCTGTGTTAATGGCAGGAGTGATGTGTTTTCCCAGTCTCTGCTGTGGTGGTGCCCTAGGCCATTTGATGCGAGCATGGCCCAGCAGGAAAGCAAGGCATTAGCATCTCGGTGAGGGTGCTTTGTCCATCTTGCCCTAGAAAAGGCAGTCCAGCCTGTGTTCAAATTCAGTCACCTAGATGTTTCCACTGCATGCGTTATTTTGATAGCTCTATCCTTCTGCTACCTGTGAAGTGCAGGACTAAGAGCATGGAAACCAAACTATAGCAGTGAAATATCTAAGGTTTAATTAAGGCCAACCTGTTAAGTGCCTCCTTTTTGGCATCACGGTCCTTGGAGAACTGTTGTTGTGAAATGCAATGTTGTTGTCTAATCTGCTGCCTGGGCCTGGACTATGCTGGCTTGTTAGGTGCAGGGTGTAATATAGGGCTTTCTCGCAGGCTGTTTTAATGGGGTTCGGCTAAACTATGCCTTGGTATCTGTCTATATGTGGAAATCAGGTCAGGTTTATCCTGTTAATGTTGCTAAAAGCACACATGCAGCTTATCAGGCATAGTGTCCAGGAAGCTGTGTGTGCAGGGGACCAGCCAGCCGCATGGTGGAGCTGCCACCTCAGCTCTGCTGACACCATTTCTGTTGGCAGCAGAGAGCAGCGCTGTTTCTGGGACTTCTAAGACTGACCTTCTGAAAGGGAGCCTTTGCTGTCTGTCATCAGCTGTCTGCATGTCAGCGGCAAACACTTCTGAGATGCTCAGCTAGGCAGGAAACAGGGTGGCCTTACAGTGGCCTGGGAGAGCTGGAGGGAGAGGACCAGGACATGGTGACAAGATGTTGTTTGCCTGCCTGGGCTAGCGTCAGCCACACGTCTGGTTTGGCACCGCAGGCTGGAGCGTTCAGTCAGGTCCCTGGTGGCAGCAGGCACAGACCCCCTGGTCCCAGGATGCAGGGGCCAAGGGCAGGCGCAGAAGCTTTAACCAGCCTGTATCCCCTTGGAGGGGGGTGACAACGCCTGTATGGGAAAAGGGCTGCCGTCTCTGCCTATAAATGCCCTGCTCTGCTGGGCTGGCCCTGGGGAGAGGAGTCAGGAGGTCTTCTGCCAGGAGTGTGGTGCCAGAGCTGGGCAGTAAACCTGCTGCATGGGAAAGGAAGAGAGAACTCTTCAGGAAGGCTCTTCCCCTTGCAGAGAATTGCTGGTGGTGTCAGCCCGCTGCTGTAGCTGTTTTCCATCCCGAAGCAGGGCTGGGGCAGCATGATTGTGGCCCAGCAGCAGTTAAGGCACTACACTAGGGCTCCTGACTTAGGGTACGGCACCAGGGGGCTTAACTCCTAGCAAGGTGTCCTGCTTGGGATCCTGTGCTACACCATCGTACCGTACTGCAGTGCACAGACACCACTCCTGGACACTTGTGCTGTATTTGCCACCCCCAGAGATGGGCACCTGCTCTGACTGCCCCTTTCCCAGCCTGACCTGCCAGAGCCTCAGGTGGCTGTTGTCGCAGTGAAGCCCAGGCCTGGCCCACATGTTAATCTTTAAATTCCGAGGGTGTTTCAAGCCTTTCATCTGCCAGCTTTAGAGAGCAATGGGAGAGCTGGAAGTCTCCCTGCCAAACCTGTGCCAGAATAAGAAAGATCATGCAGGGCTGTCAGCCTAGAGGAACGGACGAGCCTGCTTACAGCCTCCATGGGGGGGACACCCCCTTCCTGCCCTCTGCCAAGAGGAATGTAAGAGCAGGAGAACTCCTGAGAAGGAAGACACAGGGTGTAAGGTCAGGCCGGACAATGGATTAGGGAGTGATGTTCCCAGCCAATGCAGTGGGAGAAGCATCTCCTTTCATCCACTGCAGCACAGGGCAGGATGTTGAAAAGCAAATTGAGGGCAGTAGTGGAGTCCTGGCCATCCCTCTTGTGCTCCAGGCTCCAGGAGGTCAGCCTTAACCAGAGCTGCACCCAGAAGCTGCTGCTGCAGAACAACCCTCATACCACAAGAGCTAAGAGGAGGAAGAGGAGCTGGAACTGATTTTTTTGGCTATTTCCACATCTGACTTGGCAACCAGGAACCGCAACTTCTTCCCTCCGGAGCGGATGAGGTCCACCGCACTGCAGAGACCAGCAACAGGGAGAGAGGTGAATTCTGGTTCTCCCGTTGCCTGCCCACAGGCTGACAGGTCCCCTAGGAGCCTTCCAAGGTCATGGACCATGTGTTAAACCAACAGGCCTCCATCTCCCTTGGCCACCTGGCTTACAGCAGTGGTCATGCTGGGCGCCACAGGGCAACTGTTTTCTATTTGCAAAACACCCCCACCCTCTGCTTTGTGCCTGCTCAGGTTCGTTCAGTGCTACAAGCAGGGCCTGTTTCTCTTCTGCATTCAGCTTTAGGGAGAGTCTGGCCTTCAGGCAAAGTGCTGCCAGGACAAGGGAAAATGAGTCCAGAGCTGCTCTGCTCCTTTGGCTTTTGTGGCTCTGTCTCAAACAGCCAGGCAAGGTGCAAGCTGCTTCATTCTGCAGCGTTTGAAGGAAGCCTGGGGCAGGATGAGGCTCGGCAGGACTGGAGCAGCTCTGCCCTGCTGATGCACCTCTGGGAGGGTCACGTTTATCTCCCAAATGTGGCCTCAGCCTTTCCTCTCTGAATCCTCTTGCAAATTCCCAGTACAGCTGCTTTCACCACGTCCCAGTTTCATGCTAAGGTAGCTCTGCTCTCTGACACCTGCCCTTCCTACAGGCTCCTGTGTTTTGTTTGCTGCGAGCGTAGCAACAGGGACTAGGAGACCCTGTGCAACTCTTTGCTACAAAACAGCAGAAAACCTGGGCTTCAGCAATAAATTTCCTTGTGCCGATCCTGGCCCAGGCCCTCAGTTAGGGTGGGACTCACCTCTGGTAGTCTGCCCCAATGAGACTGGTGCCGTTGACGGCCAGGATGCGGTCCCCGATGGAGAGTCTGCCGTCCGCGGCCGCCAGGCTGTCCTGGATGAGGGTGCGGATGTAGATGCCCGGAGAGCTCAGAGGGGTGTGCTGCGGGCAGGGACGGGCAGTGAGTGACCAGCCAGGGCAGCCAGGCACCCCGTGCCGGCCTGGCCAGCAGCTCTTCCCCACGGGTCGCAGCAAGGCTGGACCCTGGAGGCTCTCGGGTGCCTGCAGCTGGGTGCTGAGGAAAGCATTGCTAACACTGACAGGTAGGAAACACGAGCCTTCAGTTTTTACGCTCTGTGTGGACACAGAAAAGAGCAGTAGGGGCAATCTTTTCTTGTTCAATTTAATTACAGGTACAACATCGTTAACAAGCCTGCTGCCCTGTTTGTGGAAAGGGAGCTCTTTGCTCACAACTGTCCCTGGGGTTGAGTGATGCTCTGTTTCCTACTGACTAATGCACTGTCGTGAAAGGCCACTTAGTAAGATGATCCACTGCACTAAGCCAGATTGCAACGCGTCCCTCTGCCGGAGCAGGGAGAGCAGCGAGCGGTGCCAGCGCTGCTGGCCTCATGTGAGGACAAGCTGCCGCGCTGCTCCTGCTCGCTTTGCCTCTCACCGAAGGGTGGAGGAAAGACCTCGGCTGAGTCATTTTCCTTCCACAACAGCTTTGGGCCTGGTTGCTCTCTCCAGCTGCAGGACAGCTGTGCTGGACTTAGCATGCACAGCACAGCGAGCCAGGAGCAGCGATCTGTTTCTCCCAGGAGATTCCTCTGTGCCTCATTTCCCCGGGAGAAGCAGCCTAGCTCGATGCTAGGGTTGGCATTAGCTTCTTTGCTGGCTTTGCATGGGGTATGAAACATTCCCTCCCACATGTCCCACTCCAGCTACTTGGTGGGGCATCAGCCCTGTCCTGTAGTCGGTGTGAACTCACCAAGCCATCGATCAGTCCCATCCCCAGCCCGATGGGGCCTCTCTCCAGCTCCACTACAAAGACGTAGCAGAAGTCATCAGTGGCAGAGCTGCGGCTGGAAGATGCTGGTGTGGGGTAGTCATAGGGGGTCGGAGAGCATCCTGGCAGCAGAGAGACTGTGTTACTGCTCCAGCATCGCCCAAACTCTGCCTTACAACTTTCCATGGAAAGCATCTCACCAAAACCCCATCAATGCTGACCTTGGGTAGCCCCAGGGCTGGTTTCGGTACCTTCAGGGGTGCTGCCTTTGATGCTGTTCAGCCCGTTCCTGCGTGCGTCCTGCAGGCCAGGGCCCTGGGGGGACTCCAGGCTCCCAGAGTCGAAGTTCAGGGGGGTGGTGGGTGGTGTCAGCAAGTAGGAGGTGTCCACGGGCAGCACGCCACCCTTTGAGGCCGCGCCTCGCCCCAGCTGCAGCTGCTTGAGCTTCTCCTGGAGCTGTGGCTCGCTGCTGGGGTGCTCTTGCGGGAGGCCCCCGTCCGCCTCCGGCTCCTCGCAGCCCCCCGGGGAGCAGCAAGCCGCGGGGCCCAAGGTGCTTCCCAGGGCAGGGACGGGGCTCTCGCGCACCTCCGGGACATCGAATGCAGTGGACGCTTCTTTCTTTAGAAGGAGAAAAATGCTTGGTGTGAGCCCACGCAGCTGCTTTACAGCCTGTCCGCCCTTCACCATCCTCCTCTCTGAGGGAGGCTGTCTGCACTGCCCGGGTGCTTTGCATGCTTTGCACAGCTTTGCACAGCTCTCAGCTGCATCCAAAGCGTGAGCAAGGAGGACGCTGCTGGGGCTCGTCCTGGCTTCCCGCGCAGCTCTGACGCCGCAGTTGTGCAGCCGGGGCAGGGCTGGGCATGCACGGCCAGCCAGGAGGGGACGCGGGCTAGTGACATCCCCACTGGGGGAACCAGCTCTGAGCAAGGGGATCCCCAGCGAGATCGTGTTAGAGGGGTCGCAGGGGGAGCAGGGCTCCCCGAGGGCCCCAGAGCTGGGCAATGAGCCCCAGGGTGACCGGGAGGAGCCGGCAGGGCCCACGGGTGCTGGGGCCGATGGGAGCAGGCAGGGAGAGGAGAAGGGATCAGACCGGTTGGAAGAACGTCCTCCCCAGGGAGCTGGAGGCAATTACACGCTGCACCCGCAGCACGTCTTGCCCTCCCAGTGCTTTAAGGACATTAATTAATGCCTTTGTGAGAGCCTGCCCGGCTCCATGAAGACTTTGGGGATGGAGGCAGTACAGGGGCCCTCGCCTTCGCCCTGGCAGGGCAGAGAGGACAGGGAATGTGCCGGGCAACGGGGAACACCACCTTGCAAACATCTCTCCCTCCTCCCTGCTAATGAGATTGCTGGGTCAGGTCTGTCCTTTCTGCTCACCTTCCCGCGCTCCCCAGGCGGGGATTAGCGGGGGCTAATCCCTTCCAGCAGCTCTGCGTGCTGAGCGGGTGGCATGCAAGGGCAGCGCGCGGGCCGAGGCTTGGCTACGGGCAAACAAGGGCAGCGAGCCCTCGGTCCGGGCCAAGAGCTACCGGAGCGAGTACCACGGGAGTAGCATGGGTGGGA